CACCAGATGGAAAAACATTAGCAGCCCTTGAAATGGAGGATAGCCCAGTAAGACCCATGGCCACCCAGTCATCATAGAGGTAACATGCTCAAGTGATCAACATGCATAAATGTGGGCCCAGTGTACCCATGAAATAATAGAATTTGATGTGGTCTGGAGCCAACCCTGTATGCGATGCACCCACGTTCATTCCAACTCTCATTGTCTGTTCAGTGGGTAGCTGGAAGTGTGGGATGCTTTCAGCTAGAAGGACTCCTGTCATTCAGTCTCAAAAGGCATTGTGCAGATGTTCTATTATTATTTTTTTCTTTTTCTTTCACATATTTTTAATGGCAAAGAAAAAGATGGAAGAAGCAGTAGGGAAATGCAGCCAAATATTGAAGGCTGTGAATATACAATCTTGCTGCAGCTGAAGGCAAACTGATAGTACAAACGTATCACTTGGATAAAGCGTTGGGTATTGTGGTTACCTTCCCTTCTCTGACAATTTTTTTTCCCAGAATGTGGTTGAAGTGTTCTTTTCTTCTGGAACTGGCTGGCTAAATGACAAATTCTGTGTGCTCTAACTATGGTGGTAATCCAATTGCACCTCCACTCCATGACAAGGCTCATGGAAGATGGGTTTCCCAAGGGCTTTTTAGTGCAGAAGCAAATAAAGTTGAAACGTGCAAGCATGATCTTTCTCCTGTCCCTATTGCTATGAGGATTATGCAAGCAGGTGAGTAGAGTTGTTGTTGTTGTTGTTGTTGTTGTTGTTGTTGTTGTTGTTGTGTGCTTTCATTTAGCTTCTGACTTCGGGCAACCCTAAGGTGAACCTATCATGGGGTTTTCTTGGCAAGATTTGTTCAGAGGAGATTTGCCATTGCCTTCTCCTGGGGCTGAGAGTGTGTGACTTGCCTAAGGTCACCCAGTGGGTATCATGGCAGAGCTGGGATTCAAACCCTGGTCTCCAGAGTCATAGCCCAACACTATTTTATTATTATTATTTTATTTTTTTATATCTCACCTTCCTCCTAGCACAGGGATTTATTCAAACCACTATGCCACACTGGCTCTCAGGTAAGTAGAGTAACAGAGGAAAATTCATGCCACCTATCTGTTTTCAATGTTGCCATCTTTTTGCAGCCTCAAACTGTAAAGCTAACACAAAAAAGTATCTAGCAAAGTCACTAACACTTTCTGTACTGCTGGACAACTGTTTAACATTTGGTCGTGATGCCAACAAGGATGCCAAAGTTCATATGCTTGTTGGCAAAGGCCCATCTCACCATAGCTGCTATATATTCTTTGTGAGAAATGCCAAGTTGACTCTTCCTTTTGTGTGTGTGTTGTGTGCGTTCTAGCTGCTTCTGGTTTATGGTAAGCCTAAGGTCCTATCATGGGTTTAATTGGCAAGATTTGTTCAGAGGAGGTTTGCTATTGCCTTCCCCTGAGACTAAGAGCATGTGATTTGCCCAAGGTGACCCAGTAGGTTTCATGGTAGAGCAAGCATACAACTTTAGAGTTCTAGTCCAATGCACAAACCACTGTGCTACACAAAACTACAATTTCAAAAAGTTACTTTTTGGATTACGATTCTGCCAACTGGACAGCCCTGAAGCAGTATATCCAGTGAACTCTGGATAAATAAGGCAAGATGGTGCACTCCTCCTCCTGTTCCATGGGCAGAAACTGGTTCAGTTGGTAGTTCAGCCTTACTTCACAGAGGCAGTGGGAGAATACATCTGCGGATGCAGCAGACCAGTCAATGGGCTCCAGAACAAGTTGTATGGTAGAGAGAGATAGTTGTGCCTTCCAGGAAGACCAGCCAAAAGGTGGTCTCCAATGTCCCCCAGCATTTGCCACCTGAGGTGATCCCCCCATTGTGTCTAATGGCAGAGCTGCCCCTGTCACTTCATGTATACAGCTGATTAACCCTCCTGGGCACATGCAGAGACAGAAACCTGGGAGCCCACAAGGGTCACAGAGGTAGAAAATGTTGCCTAGCAAGCATGTGGTGCTAAACTTGTTTTCCCTTCTTCAGTATAAAAAAGGCATCCTTCTGTCTTTTTATAACCAAGCAAAACAAGTTTGCTTTGATAGGCCTTCACTTTGTGGTCACAGCTGGTTCTGAACAATCTAGTCTGTGAAATTTCTAAGAATGGTGTCTGGTGATTTCATAACAAAAACTTCATCTGGAAGCATCTTCAAGCCCGATGCATTAAAAACAAAACAAAATCCTGGGAGCATTCTTTTGGTATGGCCCTTTTCCCCCTGCCACTGTGACATCTAGTTTGACCCTGACAACCTACCTACCTTTTTCTCCTATCATTGTGTTGCATCTCCACTGCAGAAATTATGCATTTGATGTTTCTTTATCTGCCATGGCTCAATGCTATGGTATCCTGGGTTTTGTAGTTTGTTGTGGCACCAGAGTGCTCTGACAGAGAAGGCTAAATAACTCACAAAACTACAAATCCCAGAATTCCACAGCATTGAGCCATTGCAGTTAAAGTGATGTCAAATCGAAGAAAGCTGACAGGAAGAAAATCAATTCATTTGAACTGATCAAGGCATTTGAGGAATTGGAGGTCTCTCAGTCATAGGGTCACTGTGGGTCAAAGTCGACTCAAAGGCAGTTAACAGCAACAACAAACTGCATTATTTCTGCAGTGCAGATGCAGTCTCTATAATCAGATAGCAGTGGTACCAATACTGCCAATTCCTTCAAAGCTAAACTACCACAAATTGACAAATCTTGGCAAAAAATGACCACAGAGCAAGAGGATACCAGATTACTTCTTATACAGTAGTAGCAAGTACATTTCTATACCACTTATCAGTGAACTAAGCACTCCCCAAGTGATTTACAATGTATAAGCAATTGCAAAATTGGACAAGCAATTGCATCTTACATATTTAAAAACTGTTGTCATGATTCCTTTTCATCTTTTTCCCACTAAGGTACACACTGCCACAAACATTTAATTCTTTAGTACTTTGCTGCTGTTCTGCTTGAGCTAAAACTTTAGGAGATAGAATATCCCAATTCAGAGTCAAACTGAAAATTACATTAAGCCATTGTTTAAAGCATACATTCACAGACGTTGCTTAGTTCGTTCACAAAAGTGATCATGGGTGGAAGGTGGGGATGGTATGGTCCCTGAGTCAAAGAATAGGGAAAGTGAAATGAAATAAACATTAAAATGAAATGAAATTTAAACAAATGTAAGTTTGTTTAAAACCTAGAAAAGGAAACACACTGGGAGACCTTGGGCAAGTCACACACTCTCAGCCTACCCCCTCTAAACATATCTTGCCAAGAAAACCTCCATGATAGGTTTGCCTTGTTAGAATTATGGTTTGGCAATTTGTGGTTAAATCAGTTTAGCAGCAGCAGCAGCAGCAGCAAGTGTTTGAGGAGTCAAGGAAAATTTCATTGGGGGAACAGATTTTGTATGGGGTGGCAATGCTCTAATCCCCCCTCCCCCGTAGCTATACCCCATATTAAGAAAAGAACAACATTTGAGTAACTTGACCAAACCCACTCTTGAGGGAGCTGGGTAGTGAAATGTCAGGATCAGCCACTACTACATTTGAGAATTCAAATACGAACAAGCAAGAAAGTAAATACAAGATTAAAGGATTAGAGTGGTGTTCATTTAGACAGAGAAGAGATACACAGAGAATCAAGATTGTTTGACTTTGGTGCTTGGGAAGGAAATAGAAGAAACCATTAAAAATTAATTGGGGTGTAAAGGTAAAGGTATTCCCCATTGACATGTTGTCAAGTCGTGTCCAACTGTAGGGGCTGATGTTCATCTCCATTACTAAGCCGAAGAGCCAGCGTTGTCAGAGACTACTCTGTGATCCTGTGGCCAGCATGACTGCACAGAACGCCGTTACCTTCCCTTTGAAGTGGTACCTATTTAACTACTTGCATTTGCATGCTTTCGAACTGCTAGGTTGGCAGTTCAATTACAATTACAATTACAATTAAATTACAATTGGGGTGTACCTCAAAGAAAATAATGGCTGACATGGATTTGACAGATTCTTCAGTCATGACTTGGGGGTGGGGGAAGAAGACTATTGTTATCAAACCTTTGGATGATATACAATTGGATTGCAAAATCAAATGCCTCTTAAAATCTCCCATCCCTGTCCATTCTATAAGTGGCTGCAGCAGATTCAGTTTAATACAGACAAATCTACCAACATAGCATTATGTTTGAGCATGGCAACCTGCCTTTTTCTTATATGTCTGGTCAGCTAACAGCATTTGGTACCAATCCTGCAAAAAAGGGGCTGCTTCCAGAGCAGAGCCATTTAACATGGCTAGGATTTCACTTTTCCATTATTCGCTGGAAATAAAAAATGTTTAATAAAAATAAAACAAAGGCTCCACACATCGCTTTATATAACAGTAGTTCAGTAGTGTTCTAAATGTTTACTTACAATTAAGTCCTGTTGTGTAAAAATCATTTCCAGTATTGATTAATTAAACAATTCCTGTTTGCCACTCCTCTCATTTTATTGCTTCCTGATGATTCAGTTAGAGGAGCAGCAGTGATGAAGAGCTGTTAAATGGGATTACTACGGTATTTTCCTATAAATACCTAAAAAGTAAGATTAGAGAAGATCAGTAATTACAATTTGCCTCTCTTGTGGGAACAGAAACTGATATTGGGGTAGCTAAGGGGTGCAATGAATAGGCTATCATTATAGTCGTCCCTTCCAATTCATGGGGAATTTGTTCTGTCGCCACCCCACTCCCGCAAATTGGAAAAACTGCAAATATTGGAGCCCCATTGTTTTTAAT